GTGGTAATAATATATGGCTGTAGTTGGGAGGAGGACATTAATAGGTTGTATCCTCTGAAATCACTGAGATTTGACCATTTCTTTGACTTACAAAATGGCAAATCCACATATTCCAACCCAGTACTTCTTTGGTTACCAAAAAAACTCTAATGTCCCTAAAGTTACTTGGAAAATTTTCTGGTCTGTGAAACTCCAAAGTCTGAGAAAAATCTACTTTTCTTCGTATGTGTCCCTAGACTCAAAAGCACTTTACAAATGATAAGATGAAAACTGACAAGAAGAGAGATTAGTAAAAGCTGACTGTGATTTTAAACCGTGGCAAGTGGGAGCTTGATATTGTCACTAATTAAAAAAAAAAAAAAAAGAACAACAACATGAGAAAACAAAGCAGATTTGTGGGAGACAATAATGAGCTCAGTGCAGACTTTTAACTTTTAAAGGAATAATGTGCCATGTGATTTCTGATACAGGTTCAGTTTATAAATTGGACTGCTCAAAAAATTATTCCTAAATGTTTTTAAAAGGCTGGCATCCAAGTTTGGGGAAATAATTTAAAATGCATTGTTAATGATGATAGGCTCCTTGGTGGGCCGTCAGGCTGGAATTCGCAGGTGTATATCCTGCTTATTTTTAAAACAGGGTCCCGAACTGTGTGCTCAAAATCCATTCTTACTCCCATTTGCACTCTATCAAGAGCTGCAGGATTCCTGGGAGCAGATGTCACTGTGTGAATCTTATTTTCTGTCTCAGATCCAGTAGGAAAACTGCCTTTATAGCAAGAGCCTAGGAAATTCCCGAAAGGAGCAGGAGAGGATGTGTCTGAGTCAGCACCGGCCTCCCTTTGCAACAGTATGCAAATTGCCAGGGGCAGGGTTCAAGTGCATTCAAACATGCGGCATTTTTCACAGCTCGTTGTACTTTATATCTTGTATTTCCGAAAATCACTTGAGATTTGCCTACATGATAAATTTCCCTTTTCTGGTCATAAAAAAAAAAAAAAGACTGTAGATTTACAGTCAAGTCTACTTCCTTCACGAAGCCACAAGAGAAAAGCTTCTGGCTTTGGCTTCCGCGCTCTTCCCCTCTGCATTGTAAATGAAGATAACAGAGCAAGGGGAGCAAGTGATCTCATGGACTGAAATGCAGCAGAAATACAGGTGCATGTTTTTAACATAGATACACACCTTTGACATTCATACTTTCTCTCCCAGCCACTTGAACCGGTCCACTCTGGAGACTTGTTATTCAATTTGAAATTCAACTGGCCCAAGAGGGAAGCTATGGTTCATCAGATTTTTCTGAATTGAGAAAGTAACCTTACTGTCATGATTAATTAGCACTGAGGCCCAGGGAAAGAAAATGACCTGCTAGCTCAGAGCCCAGAACTCAGACGTTCTTCCCGGTGTCCAGTGCCCTAGCCTCTGAATCCCAGAGCTTTTTGGAAACAGGACTACCCAGGCACTGTTCTTTGAGTCTGTCAAGTTTTCACTTCCCTGGGGAAGCCTTATTTGATGGCATAATTTTCAGATCGTATAATATAAAACCTATGGTGATTATCTTATGTTTCAAAGGGAGCAGAAATTAAGCAAGTTTGTATTTTGTTAATATACTTTTTAGTGATTTTTTTTAGAGAGAGAGAAAGAAACATTGATGTGAGAGAGAAAAATTGATCGGCTGCCTCCTGCACATCCCCTACTGGGGATCAAGCCCAAAACCTGGGCATGTTCCTGGACTGGGAATCAAACCAGGACCTCTCAGTCCGTGCGGCGATGCTCAATCCACTGAGCCACACCAGCCTGGCAAGCAAGTTTGTATTAAAGGCCTGGTATGTACCAGGCATTGTGCCAGCCACCAGTCAAATCACAGTGAATAGGATACACAGGTCTTACCTTGAGGGAGAATAATGGCTGCTAACATTTTCACAGCATTTACTCCAAGGGCATCATTCCAAATGTATTAAATCATATTTTGGATGCTCATTATTTTTATTTTTATTTTTATTTTTATTTTTATTTTTATTTTTATTTTTTTTTATCCTCACCCGAGGACATTTTTCCATTCTTTGCTCAGATAGAGTGGGAGGGAGGAACGGAGAGAGAGAGAGAAACATCAATGTGAAAGGAACACATCGAGTGGCTGCCACCCGCACGACCAACCAGGGCCAGGGACAAACTGCAACCGAAGTACGTGCCCTTAGCGGGAACCGAACCCGGGTCTCTCCGGACCGCAAGCCGACGCTCTAACCGCTGAGCAAAACCGGCCAGGGCTGGATGCTCATTATTAACCCTACTTTATAGGTAAGGAAACAGGCACAGAGACACTCAAGTAATAAGTGTCATTGCCAGGTTTGAATCCAACTTTAGATAAGTCATTCTTAGTGTTGCCGACTACTATTGAAGGGGAAGTTAAGGTGCTATGGGAGCTTTTGCTAATGTACTTTCACCTAACCCAGGTGGTTAGATGAATGCTTAGAAATTAGGCTGGGACTGACCCAGGCAGATGCTGTCTTTTCTAGTGTAGTCAGAGGCTACAAAGTAGAAAGAAGTCCAAAGACCAGAATCAACAGTAGACCATTTGTGTTTGTTGTTGGTTTGAAAGGCATGTTTTTTAAATCATTGAATTTGAATACTTTTAGGCTGAGCACTCTCTCTAGTTTGTTGTCTTATACTCCATTCATCTGTATTTAGCTGCCATATGCCTGACCCCTGTGGGTTTGTTACCCTGATAGATCTTCTCTGGGATCCACTTCATTTTAATCAGGAGTCTTTTGGTTGCAAGAAATAAAGTCACAAGTTGACTTTATAGACAAAAGAGGAAATGTACTGATCAGCTACAGCTTCTTTTTACATAATCACAACACAGGACAGGGTTGGTAGCCTCGGGCAGTGGGAAGCAGAGGCCCGGTGATGCCAACGATGTCTCTGCATGTCCTCTGACTCTCTTCTGCTGCAGACTTGCTTCCTCGGCATGTGGGAGCATGGCTGCCAGAAAGAGGCTGACTCGCTTCCCTAGGGTCCACTTTGGAAAACCACAGGATGTTCTTGTGTGGTTCAGCTGTCCACCCTCTGACCAATTACCAGACATACAAGGCATTTTGATTCCCCAGCTTTGGGCAGGAGTCAACGAGCTTTGGTGATTATAAGCTGGACATTGCTCCCATTATTACCTATTATGTAGAATGTTCCCAGTGTGGCCTTTTATGTTCACCCACTTTAAACTGCCTCTGTTGCTCATAGTAATTTGCCTGGCCCACAAAGCATTTTCTTTCAGGACCTCCTAGTACTGTGCTGAGGATTATGACATAATGCACCCAGAACGTGCTGATCAGTTTGTTTCGGGAAATGGGATGATCTTTCCACGCTGCTTCCTCAGTCTTCTTCTCTAGGGGGTTCCGTGTGCAAAGTCAACACTTTAGCATGTCCCAGGATCTCAGCTTTGAAGGCGCTAAAAGCTCCCTTGGTAGATTGCCTTAAACCAGTAGTTGGAAGATTAGCAAGTTCTAAGTTTATGTTTAAACACAAACGAAAGTGACTCACCCGAGGTCACTGCAGTGGCTAGTGCCATGAAGTTTTTGTCTGCACAGGCTCAAAATAAGCAGAATGACTTGGTCTGACCTGGCATTGAGTCTAAAATGGAATCACTGTGCTGAGGCTGAGTCCTAAGACTCTTGTGTGTGTTTGGGGGGAGGTGAGCAGCACTCTCCCTTTCACATGTGGCTTACTCCTTGGTTTAGGGCAGGGGCTCTGGAGCAAGATGTGTCTGGGTTAAGCTCTGGCTCAGCAAATACCTTAGCCTGCCTGTGCCTCAGTTACATTCACTCTGAAATGAGGGTGATACCAGTACCTACCACACAGGCCTGTGGTGCACATCCACACCTGAAATGCATAGCATTCCTAGCTCAGCAGCTGGCATAGCCAGTGCTCAGTAAGCCTTCGCTGTCATTCTTAGTATCATGTTGTCATGCACCAGCTCCATCCTTTGGCCCAGAGGTTTAAGGCAATTGGTAGCAGAAATAGGACAGTGTGTTAGACCAGATGCTTTTCAGAGCTCTGATTTTCTCATCTCATCCTTCCACATTTTTGAGGACAAGATAAGAGAAAGGGAAGGGAACTAACACTTCTCAGACACCTGATCTGTGCCACACACATGTGCATCATTCAGTGGTGTACTTCAAAGTTTCCATAACTTCTTCCCTAACCTCTGTCTCACCAGCTGTGTAAATATTCTAAGTGCCAAACTCTGTTAGAAAGTGTCCTGCCCAGGTAGGTGTTTTCAGTGACCCTATAGTAGAGTTAGGGACATGGGTTTGTCATAGGTTGATTCTATTTATTATAATCATTAATGTCTTTACTATATATTTGGTATTTGCCAGGTACCATGCTAAGTTTTTTTCATGTATTGCTCCATTGACTCCTTTCAGCATCCCATTTTTCCCCCATTTTAAAAAATATGTTTTTATTGATTTTAGAGAAGAAGGGAGAGGGAGAGAGAAAGAAACATCAGTGTGAGAGAGAAACATTGATCGGTTGCCTCCCGCACATTCCCTGACTGGGGATCAATCCTGAAACCTGGGCATGAGTCCTGGCTGGGAATCGAACTGGTGACCTTTTGGTTCACAGGACGATGCTCAACCAACTGAACCACACTGGCCAGGGGAGGTTCTAAATATCAAGATTTGAATGCTGAAAGAATTTAATATTGAATATAAATATAAATATAGGAATCACTAGTGTGATAGAAGAAAAAACTGGTCAAAATAACCACCAAGGATATCGGATAGGCTTAACGCCTGACAGACCTGAAAGGGTCGAAGCACTTGGAAATGACAGGCTTGCCTTCATCTCAGAGTTTGTCCAGAGGGATGAATAGAACTCACGCCCGGTGTGTTGGTCATTTTTGTAGGAGACCGAAGCCCCATGCAGTGGTGCTTGACTACTGAAATTAGAAAGTGCACTTGAGCCCCACGATACTGCTAACTGGTTGTATCTTTCACATTCCAGGAGGACATGGCACAGGCGGTCAGTCAGAGTGTGGTGGCAGAGCAGCAGAAGGCAGTGGACTGCTCGACTGACAACGTACGTAACTCACACGTTAGATTTTGCTCTACTGGCATGGTGTGCATTGTAAACACGTTGCAGAAGAAAAGGAGGTGATCACAATGAAATCAGATCCTTTCTTACATGGCAGGAGGTTGTAGTATGTCTTCAGCCTAAAGTCAACCCACCACTGCGTCACCGATTCTGTGCAAGGTGTGTGGAAATGTCCTCCGTACATTTCCCAGTACCAACAACCCAAACAGGTTTTAAAGGTGGGGCATGCCTGAAACATGCTTGCACCGTGCTTTATATAACGTCATAAAATGTTAAATGGGAGAACTTGTCGTTTCATAAACTTTGGTGTTCCTTGTGTTTTGAGTTTCACTTCTCTTAAAAACTATAAACTTCTGTCTGTAAGATGTTTGTATTGTTGTTGCTATTCAGTATTTTCTTGTTTAAGTCCTGGTTCTCATTTCTGGGTGCTAGTGTACACTTTGGTGCTACTATAATTTACATGATTACTATATTAATTACTTCTATGTTTAGGAAACTTTGGATTACTATAGCTTACAGAAAATATGTGATATTTCAAACCTTGCCAAAGAAAATGCCTTTAGTCTTCCAAAATCACATGCTAAAAACCTAAATAAAAACAAATAGGTAGAGAAAGAAACTTAAAAAGAACCACATTCAGTTCAAGTGAAAACCTGTAAGCAATTATTTTTTAAAGTTTACAATCGCAGTTTTTACTTTATGTATTTGCAAATACTATTTATGTGTTAAGACTATTTACTGCCATCTATCTCAAGGCACAGATCAAACATCTCTAAAATTTTATAACGATAACATTTTATAGGAGCTAGGGCCGATCCTAAATGTCATCTGGCCTTTCTTTTTTCCTGCTGAAAAATGAGCACTTTTAAAGCATAATCCTTTGGGGAAATGATTATCAGCCTTTTCTGCGGCTGCGGAAGAGAACCGTCCCAAAGATCAGTGGGCAACATCTGCACTGACGCTGTGTCAGCTCGTTACCGAGCCCTTCCCGAACAACAAGCCGTGCCAAACCCAAATGAGCTTCCTTATGGAAGTGGAATTTTCCATCCCTGAAGGTTTTCAATCAGAAGCTGGCTGATCATTTATTAATATATTATCAAAGGACATAAAGACATTTGTAGCTATTATAACTGAATTCCTAAGTTGTTCTTGGCACAGTGTCAGGTTTATTTATGTAGTTTTCTCTTTAATTTTCACAACAACCATGCAAAGTATAGAGGTATGGCCAGCAACTTACAGATGAGAAAGTTTAGGGGTAAGGAGATTAAGCGATGTGCCTATGGCCACCAACAAATTTGGCAGTTCATATATTCTTTTTTTTTTTTTTTATCCTCACCCGAGGACATTTTTCGATATTTTGTTCAGATAGAGGGAGAGGGAGAGAGAGAGAGAGAAAAACATCGACGTGAAAGCGACACACCAAGTGGTTGCCACCCACACGACCCAACCAGGGCTGGGGACAAACTGCAACCAAGGTACGTGCCCTTAGCGGGAACCGAACCCGGGTCTCTCCGGACCGCAGGCCAACGCTCTGACCGCTGAGCCAAACCGGCCAGGGCAGTTCATATATTCTTTCAAGTAGTAATGCTTCCCTCTATCATGAAGACCTGATGAAGGGTCGACCCTTTCCCCAGAAAAATACTGATAAGTATAATTTTGATACAATCACAGAGGTTATATAGTTTCCAGAATTCCCTCTGTGTGTCTCTTAGAAACCCATTTATTCTGGATTAAGAATCCATGGTTTAACTTTAAGAAATAGGTCTCTCAGCTTATAAAATTGAGAGACTTATTTCAACTTATCAAAAAAAAATAAAAAGAACCATGGTTGGGCTCCACAGCCCATGTGCCCAAGTATTTGGTCTAAGATGGAGGTTCCAGTATCCATACATTTTAAAAGCTTCCTAGCAGGTCCTAGTATGAGGACAGGGTTGAGAACCACTAGTTGAGTTGGGCAGAATGACATTTAAGTTCATTCTGACTCTCATATTTTAATGTAGTAACATTCAACAGCAAATCTGATCTTTCTTATCTTGCATCCTTCATAGTTTGGTTTTGGGTCAGTGGGGGAACATATGGTTCATCCGTTACCACATCTACCAACAACAAGAGGGCTGCCTCTAAATATATTTGTTAGGGTGTTTTCCTTGGTTTCTATGGACTGTTTCCTAGTTTTTTTCATTGAGTTCAATTCTACCAATATATATCAGAAACCTATTATGCACAGTGAAAGGGGATGATACGTGGAACTGGGATAGAAAGGGGAGAAGCAAACATTCCCTGCTATTTATAAAAGTCATACTGTAGTGCTTGCTGTCTCTTGTGCTTTCCTGTTTTAAAATTCACATGACTTTTTTTTCGTAAGAGAACTCTGTAGTTTGCATTCACCTTTGTTATCAATGCTCTTTCATGAGATGATACAAAACGGAAGTTGGACATAATTACCGTATGAGTTAAGATTAGGCTCATTCACAAGAAGTTCTTCTTTTATTCAACAGTCGGTATGTAATCAGTTTGAGGGTGGTATGGTGTCTCCACGGTGTCACGGACCCAAGCACCTCTTGTATGATTACTATACCAAGCTCATTTGGTTATTCTATCACCCTCAAAACATGGCATCCAATTTTTGGTCTAAGATGGCTACTCCAAGTAGCACCTTTCTGTCCACTTTCCAGCTAGGGAGAAGGGAAGGTATGCTCCTTCTCTTTAAGAGAACGATCTGAAAATTATGTAGTTCATGTCTCTTTGCATCCCATTGACTAGGACTTTCTCTGTGGACACATCTAACGTCAAGGAAGCTGGGAAAGGTGGTTTTTAGAGTAATCAGACGGTTAGGTGGTTCAGTTTGGTCATTGTTCTGGTAGTAGCCCCTTATTTGTCATTCTTCCACTTCCCTCTTTTTAAAGTACTAAAAATATGTATTTGAATAAGTCTTTTTGTAAGTATGTGGTCATTATTAAAGGATGGTGATAGAGAAACTACAGGAAATCTAAGTGAACATCTATTCAGTTATTGCCTAGCAATAAAGTGAAAACTTTAAAGTGATAGACACTTTAAATCTGTAACATTCTTCAACCACTGACTTTTAGTCCTGCCGCCTCTTCTAATTAATTGTGTGATTTCAATAGGTCACTTGACATTTGTGTCTTGGTTTCTTTATCTGGAAAAGAGAGTAATATCATCGAACTCTCAAGGTTGTTCTCATGATTAAATGAATTCATGGATGTAAAAGTGTTTTTGAAAACTGGAAAGCACAGCACAGATACACAATGGGTGGTACTGTTTAAGTTGTTACATACTGCACAGTCCTTGTACTGAGGCACCGCCTCCCACTAAGAGCATCATGAGGTGTTATTGTTCTGGAGCAGTTACCTTGATCCTATTTCTAGACTCCAGGGACAGCCTGGTGCTTCACTGCCTCCACCAGAATCTTCCAGCTGGGGATGGGTTCCCTGGCTAACTACAGATCCAGAAGGCAGGTCAGGTCACTACCTATATTTTTAACTGCCTGTTAAGCAAGCATGGAGCCCTTTCAGTTTTTTCTTAGTTTTCTGATACTAATATTCATTGGCGGTATCATCAACAATAATCCAGAATTAAAAGTTAATTTTCTAAAGCTCACCTAGCAGAAGTCTCTATACCTTCATTGAATTACATGTTCATTTCCTACTCTGAGTTTTCATGTCTTAAGTTTTGCTCTCCTATATGCATTTATTTGCTCATTCATTCATTCCTCAAACATTTATGGAGACCCTACTATGTTCCAAGCACTGGGGACCAAACGTGAATAAGGTCCAGTTCTTGTAGGTGACTCAAATATAATTGGTGCACCTGGCATTTAGTAGGCCTTCAGCAGATGTTTGTGGTCCCTTCCTTCCTCTCATGTTGCTCAGTTAACCTACCTAATGCATCACTGACTATTGTGAATGTGTCCAGAAGAGACGGGTGATGTTGTATGCTCAGAACATCTGCAGCATAGATTCTTTTCCGATGAGCACAGCATGGATTTATGGACTTCATGTTGATTGCATCAGAATGAGGAGAAATTGTGGAAATTTTGGGTTTACTTCCCAGCCCAGCTTCATGTACAGACCACAGTGATAGAGTATCTTCCACTTTTATCCTTCTCCCCTTCCTTGATCCATTCTTCACCAAAGCATTTTAGACATAAAGTTCAATAGGGAAGCATGGGGAATGAGACAGAAATCATCCGACATTCCTCTTACCCTCCCCCACTCCCCACCTTCTACTCTAAATTCTCAAAAGACATTATTGAAGTGCACTGTTGTTTTGGTAACAATACACCAATGGTCAAGTCTTCTCCTCTTTGACATTTATCACATTTTCCTTCCCTTTGTAGGCTGTCAGCCAGATGAAACAGCAAAAATATTCGACGAAAGTCTCCTTCAGTTCACAGGAGATACCTTTAGCACCCACTCCATCATACCATTCAACAGATGCAGACTTCACAGGCCATGGTAAGGTTCTTTCTCTGAGCAGAGTTGAATTGACTCATCATACTTTTAGAAAGGAAGGGATCGTGATGTCCTGGAAAGAGACTGGACTAGGAGTCAGGGAGCTTGGCTTTGCACTCCTCCTCCACTTCCCTAGCTTTGAGACTTGGCCAGGTCACTTTACTTCCTACACCATTTTGCTCATCTTTACCATGAGATTGCCTATTGCCTATTGAATGTAAAAGTACTAGAACCAAAAAGGCCCTCAGTAAATGCTGTTTGTATCTGAAGCTTACAAATTACTCTCTAATCTCTCCAGAAGATTGTGTTTAGTTCATGAGTAATATCTCTTAAAAATCATTTTGAGCCAAATTGTTAGTCTTGCATATGTTGATGTAAGCTATCTGAAGACTGTTAATTTCCAGTGCTTAAAGAAATCGGTGTTCTCTCTCTCTCTCTTTGAATTCCTGGCTGGAATGGTGATGACTGGTGGTTGAAAATAGAACTTCAAAATGAATAATGAGTATTTTCATTTTGCTTTTATGCAAAAGAAGTCAGTAAAAGGGGTGGGGGGAAGAGGACTATTTACAGCACCATGCTCACCAATGGCAAAGCATAGATCTGCATCAATTTAGCAGGCCTGATGCTTTATAGTATTTATCTTTTACATATTTTTCATAAATATTAACTCAGTAAAAAAATTAACAAGCAGTTACTATTCTAAAGAACTGGATATTTACTAAAATACTTGATGACTGGTCAGCAAATGACCCCTGGGTCAAATTTGGCTTGCCCTCTGTTTTCATATGGTCTGCAAGCTGCAAGTGGTTTTCAGATTTTTTTTAGGTTGAGAAAAACTAAAAGAATATTTAATTAAAATTACATGAAATTCACATTTTAGTATCCATAAACAAAGTTTTATTGGAATATTAATTGTTTACATACTATCTCAGCTGCTTTCCTTCTATAAGGATAAAGCTGAGTGGTTGCCACAGAGAACACATGCCCTGTAAATCCCAACATATTTACTACCTGATCTTTTACTGGAACAGTTTGCTAACTACAATGCAAGCCAATTGAGTTTTGATCATATATATTACATATTTATACCTCGATATCAGAAATTAATCGTCCAACAATTTAATCTGTAGAATGTATTGTCAACGATCTACTTATCAAGCATTCAGTAGGGACCTGGTATGCATGAGGCTCTGGGCTGGATTCTGTGAGAGAAACGAAGACCAAGACTGAGTCAGGACTGGCTGGGGTGAGGCAAAGTGGAGGGGGAAGGAAGTGCCACTGCAGCATCTTGTACTGTGTGTTCGCTCTCTTCTCACTTGAGAGACTGAGCTAGTCATTTACAAAAGGAGTATAAACTTTTTAAAGCATCCTTGAAATGTACATTGTTTTTATTGTTAGTAAATGGGATATGAAGTATGAAATACATATGCTGCAAAATCATCAAGAGACAAATCAGGTTTATAACATTCCATTTCTAATATAGCATTTTTTTTATTGTTACTGAGGTTGTGTCCCTAAATTTCTCACTCTTCACCAAGAGGCCTTTAGATTAATAAATTCCATGTGGTCAGGAATAGCAACTATATGAACGCTACAATATGCCAGACCCTGGGCAGAGTACCTCACACACATTGAATTCTTCTAACAGTCTATTAGTTGGTGGTTATTTCTCTGATGAGGAGTGAGCCTCAGTTTCACCCACCTACTAGTTTCCTTCTTGGGAACTCAAATTCAAGCCTGTGCCCTTTTTCACCAAAACCATGATTATTGCTTAGAGCAGAACCCCACAGTCTCACCTAGAGCGTGTTTCCTTTTGTTTTATACCAGGGTTGGACAACATTTTCTGTAAAGTGCCAGATAGTAAATACTGAAGGTTTTCAGGCTCTCTGGTCTCTGTTGCAGCTACTCAACTGTGTGATTACAGTGTAATAGCAGCTGTGGACTAGATATAAAGGAATTAGTAGGGCTGTGTTCCAATGCAGCTGTATTTATAGACATTGAAAGTTGAATTCTGTATAATTTTTATGTGTCTTGAAATACTATTTTTCTTTATTTTTTTTTCAACCTTCTGAAAATGTAAAAATCATTCTTGGCCCTCGGACCAAATATAGCCAGTCCACCTGCCCTTGCTTCTACATAGGTTTATGTAATGAGTCTTGTGGATCACGACTTGGCCCCTGTGCACTAGCTGCAACTGACCAGCAGATGGAGCCCTGTATTATCAGCCCTTTACTAAATGATACCACAAAATAAGAATTAATACACCTAATGATCAAACTTAGTTATTTTTTAAAAAGACATCTCTGAAGACTATTATTTGTATAAGATTCTCTTGAAAACATTTTGACTGTTTTGATTTTTCAGTGGGTTAGGTTTAGTCATCTGGAAAATACAGATATATAGAATTTATGCTAGATAAATAAGTATTAAAAACCTTCTCTTGCCCTGGCTGGTTTGGCTCAGCGGTTAGAGTGTTGGCTGGCGGACTGGAGAGACATGGATTCATTTCCGACTAGGGGCATGTACCTTGGTTGCAGTTTGTCCCGGGCCCTGGTTGGGGTTGTGTGGGTGGCAACCAGTTGATGTGTCTCTCTCACATCGATGTTTCTCTCTCTCTCTCTTCCTCCCTCTCTCCCTCCTGCTGTATCTGAAGATAAATGCAAAAAATGTCCTCGGATGAGGATCATAATTTTAAAAAGACATATATCTTCTCTTAGCCTATAAATTTTTCTCTCCTAGTTTTTAGAAAAACCCAATCTAAAACAATGGTTCCAAAAAGTAAATCTTTATAAAACAGCAATAATACTTTTAACAAGCTTTTCATTTACGGAGCCAGTGATTAATTCTTGAGTTGTATTTATAACTTTCTTTTTTTTAACTATGTGTACATTTGGGATAATTTTTAGGTAATCGGTTGTGTGTTTGTTTTTCAGTTACATCATACTTCATGGTGTATTTTATTTTATTTTTTTTTTATTTAAATTTTTTTTATTTTTTTTTATTTTTGGCATTTATCTTCAGACAGAGTGGGAGGGAGAGAGGGGGGAAGAGAGAGAGAAACATTGGTGTGACAGAGACACATCGACTGGTTGCCACCCACACGACCCCAGCTGGGGCCAGGGACAAACTGCAACCAAGGTACATGCCCTTAGCGGGAACCGAACCCGGGTCTCTCTGGTCTGCAGGCCGACGCTCTAACCGCTGAGCTAAACCGGCCAGGGCCTTCATGGTGTATTTTAATATTGAAATATTTTCAAACCAAAATGGATGATTTAGGGAGATAGTTATTGCTTTAATCTCAAAAGTGTCATAGGAATGTCATGTTTCATCCCTGGGTGAATGGGCAGTAATGACCCAGCCTTTTCCTTTGTGGTGCTTGGCAGAAAAAGAGTGAAGTGACAAACGCATGCACTCTCCTAGTGTGCGTGCGAGCTGAGCTCATCTCCTGCCTGCCAGTCATTCCTTGTCCAATCCTCCTCCAGGTGGTTTCCAGGCTCCTCTGTCGGTGGACCCTGCCACATGTCCCATTGTCCCTGGCCAGGAAATGATCATAGAAATATCCAAGGGACGTTCAGGGCTTGGTCTCAGCATTGTGGGAGGAAAAGACACACCCTTGGTAAGTTTCTACCTGTGAAATATATCCACTGTCACAAAGTTACTTTTAAGCCTCATCGTGGCCATGTGTCACTTTAAGGAAGAGTTGGGTTTTTTTATGGTATGGAAAAAATATATAATTATAAATGGATTATGTATCCATATTCTGGGCAGCTTTCAAATGTTTCTCAGTGTTTAATCTTCACCAGGATTTTCTCCATCTATGATGCTGAATATTTTTTATAAATGCTTATTAGACCAACAACATCATAGCAGAATGTAGAAATGTATAACAGTTTGTAGGATGGTGCTTGGATATAAAAAGTGTAAATATAAGTATTAACTATTGTTATTATCATCATTATTATTATTTAATGGAATGCTAGATAAAAATATACATCAATTCTAGCCCAACAATTTAGGCTTTGCTTTATTCTAACCATGGCTTCATCCACTCATAATGTATGGTTTGGTTTTTTTTTTTGGTACGTGCCCCTAGCGGGAACCGAACCCAGGATTCTCTGGTCCACAGGCCGACGCTCCAACCGCTGAGCCAAACTGGCCAGAGCCATAATGTATGTTTTTTAAAACTGGTCTACAACGTTAGTTTTTGCTTGGATGATAGATCTTTGATTATTTAGTACCTTTTGATTGTCACTAATCAATAGTGCCATTGAAGTGTAAAATTTCATGGGTTTTGATTTTCTCAAAATAGTACCATTGAAGTGTAAAATTTCATGGGTTTTGATTTTCTCAAAAATATGACTAATCAATGCATCCATATTTGAATAGGTAACATATGCACATTATATAAAGTTAAATGGACACAAAAGGATATAAAGTAAAAAGTAAATATTCTTACTCCCCTTTTGCCCTACACTTGCACTCTACCCCCCACTCCCAACTCCAACCAGGGTCTCTCCCTAGAGACAATCACTGTTATTGATGAATACATTTTTAAATGAACATTTTGGCATTTCTTTTGCCTATTTAATTTAGTAAGGAATAAAGTGTATTGTAAATGCCAGATTTATAGGTAATATTAGTATAATATGATCAATAAAATGATTCTTTCCGTTTTGGGCAGGAATATGATGTTTCTGTGTTAGTATTATTGACAGGTGGGAAGATCCTATCCTATTTTTCCATTACAAATATTAGCCCCCTAAAGCACTAGGCAACTCAGATACAGTGTATGCTACAGAAACTGGGTGTTAGTGCCTTGTCCATGTTTCCTGGTCATGATCCTTCTCTCCTACTATCTGGCCTGACCTAGAGAATCCTGATATTCTGTTTGACCCTCCTAGTGAAGCATCTGAACCTGAATGTGCTCAGAGGCTGGTGTTAATTAAAAGATTTCATCCGTTTGATGAAAGATTGCTTCAAGTTTCTCTCCAGAGTTCAGGATAACTTACTTCCTGAATTCTTCTCCTTTGCCTCTGTGGGCAGAAACTGCTGTATGTGGCTTCCTGCATCACTGATGTTTTTTTCATCAGCGAGGATAGAAGTGGGAACACGGGAATTGAACTAACCCGGCAGCCGGTTTTAGCTCCCAGCCTTTCCTTGGGTCTTTGCCTTCTTTTTTTTTTTTTTTAAAGATTTATTTATTTATTTATTTTTGGTGGTATGTGCCCCTAGCAGGAACCGAACCCGGGACACTCTGGTCCGCAGGCCATGCTCAACCGCTGAGCCAAACTGGCCAGGGCGGGTCTTTGCCTTCTTAAGGCTGCAGCACTTTTTTACATTTCTCATTGTCTGTTCAGATTTTGTTATTGAGGAAAGAGCTAAACTCTTCCTTAAGTTTCCCTTTAACTGACTTGTTTATTTTTTCATTGTATTTTTAATAATGCCTCCTAGTTTTATGGGATCTGGTCTGTGAGCAGTTCCTAGAAACTTTGGCTAGCCCTCCAGCCAGGTTCTACTATAGACAGGAAGTAACACAGCACCAGAGACCCTGTTCCCCAAATCTGCCTCTGCATGCAGCCCCTCAGACTCTGCTCTCTCCCCTCAAATTGCTCCTCCCCTCCTGCCCTCCTCAAGATTCTTTTCCTTCTGTAGGATGTCTCACCCAGCTCCTTCAGCTCCATGACCTCTCCTCTGCTGATCTCTGAACTGATGGTCGACTGTTTATTTCTCTTTTAGCTCTCGGTCGTATTTCCGCTCTACCATTTACCCACTGGGACAGGTTCCTTAACCTCTCAGAGTTCATTTCCTGATCTATTAATGGGGATAGTAATACCTTACAGAATTGCTAGGAGGATCAAAGAGATGACCAGTATATGGTGCTTAGCCCGATTCCTAGTACATAGTAAGCAAGTGCACATGACGTGTACCTTCTCCAAGCCTCAGTTTCCACACGTACTAAATAAGCTTAATAATCCTCACACACTGGGTTGTGGTGAGGAACAGAGATTTTAAACAGTAGAAAATTATATGTATATATTATTAAGGCCAGTGGGATAGTATTGAAAAACTGCTGGTTGACCCTGAACATTGGATGTATCTTCCTTCCAGGGCCTGTTTTCTCATTTTCCTAAAGAGATGTTTCTGAAGTTTAATAACTAAATTTGTATAAGTAAGACTACATTTGAAATGAATCCAAGAAAATTCTGTAATGAATTCTTTCATAAACAAAAAGGAACCCTCTGTTTATTTATTGCAAATATAAGTCTCTTTATACTGCTTAAAATAAGGCAGAACTAGATTTCCCATAGGAAATCAGAAGCCTTTAGTCAGCATGTCTGGCCTGGCTGAATGAGTTTGTTAGCTGATATATTTTTGCTTTTGTTGTTGTTAATATGATTTTTCTTTGTGTGGGTTGGTTAGAAAACCCAAATAAGATGTGCCCACGCTGCTCTCGGGTCTTTGAGAGTGACCACACCTGCGCCACTGGCTGCCGCCTCAGGGCTGCTGCTGCCCCCATCCCTCCTGTATCCTGGGCGGGAGGCTTTGCTGAATACCATGCTCTGCTTCTCTTGCCACCACGAGGCAGCCAAACACTTCCTTAAGAGCATCTTGAGGTTCATAATAGGTAGTCCTGCCTTTTGAGACTGTAAATCCCATTGTCCTTGGAAGGATAAGCACCACTTAACAATGGGAAATGGGACACAGCTTTCATTTCCTAACCTCAGGTACCTCACCAAAAGCTGTAAGTTAGACTCACAATCATATACCGGCATGTTGTGTTGGTGAGGCTGGACAGTGCAGGGTAGAAGGTGCTTTAACAAGTAAAATCTTTGTTTATTACAATGAAGATCTTTCTTTTTCCCATTCCAATGTTGACACGGAACATGCAGCCTAATTGACACTGCAGGTCACATCACCCACTCAGGTGCTGGGGCGGTATCCAGCCAGCAGGAAGTTAGCCGGCCAAGAGGAGAGCATATGGAAGGAGACTGCGGACAGCTCTGAGGCCCACTCTCAGAAGTACCCTTGCACTTGCCCTTGCACATTTGATGATGTGACGCATCCTTACTTCAGCTCTGTGCAGGGGAGAAGCACGTTCTGTGTGCTGGTGACCTTTCTCAAGCATCTGCTCCAACCCTCCCAATTAGGGTTTCTGTGCCCTCTTTGTTGTATGTCCAACAGATATTTTCACTGTCTTTAGTGGAATTAAGCCTCTGGGACTTGGTCTTGACACCACATCAGTCCTATCTGCTATAAATAGTGTCTCTGGAGCCAAGACAGATGGTTTCTGAGATCACAGAGGGAGATCTCATTTAGCATCCCAATGTATTTGCAGAAGGTCATCTAAATAGACCTTTTAAAATACCAAGATAATGATGAGGGTGAGCCTCCTGGGAGGGTTTATGAGTACACCTGGACCCAATCCTCAACGACAAACTCGGCCTCTGTTGTTTTAATCTTACGATGTGCTCCCAGGTCTGCTTTTGGTGACTATGGCTCTTCTGTGATAGGTTGCATATGTTTTCTCAAAGGCTGCCCTTTGCTTAGTGCTAAGGATACAAAATTGAGTGAAAAACCCTGTCTTCAAAGAGCTCACACATTCATTCAAGTTTATTCTACTGCCTTTAATGTTTATGGTCTAATATAGGGGATCAACCAATGAAAAGTCATAATAGGGACTATTAAAATAGGGACTTCCTCTGGAAAATAGGAAAAAAGTAGAGCTTAGTACATACTTATAGATTTAATTACTGTAGGCTAGTTTTTATGTTTCTCGTAAGCCAGTGTCTTAGTCCATTTGGGCCGCTATAACAAAATGCCACAGACTGGGTGGCTTGTAAAGAGCAGAAATTTATTTCTCACAGATCTGGGGGCTGAAGTCCAAGATCAGGGTTCCAGCTTGGTTGATTGAGGGCCTTCTGTGTTACAGCTTCTCGTATCCTCACATGGTAAAAGGAGCAAGGGAGCTCTGGGGACCTCTTTTATAAGGGCACAGATCCCATTCATGGGGGCTTTGCCCTTGTAACCTAATCACCTTTCAAAGTCCCTTTCTCCTGATCCGATCACATTGGGCATTAGGATTTCATTTTACGAATCTGAGGAGGACACACAGCCAAGAAACCAGATACGGCACATTGCACAAAAGAGATGATGTATTAATTCATATTTTTTGTCTCCTTTCGTCCAATCTTCCATCCATCCTTTAACCCTGTCAGCCATTCCCTCCCTCTCTTTGGTCTTGGAGTGATAATTTGCATGAAATCTTGCAGCTCAGAGGACTTGGTATATTCTGCCAAATGAAAGACTGAGGACTTAACGTCTTATGCCGACTGCACCATATTCCTTAAACCTCTCCCCGAAGCCCTCAGTGAGCTCTTCTCAGACACGTTTGCTTGCTGATTCGAAGTTTTATCTCCATTGCCCTCAGCCTTGGGAATTCTAGAGAAGAAAAAACTTAAGTCAATCTTTTATCTTAGAGTTTTAGCAGACTCAAACTGCTTTTGGGATTGAACAAATGAGGTGGTGAGAGAATAAGGAAAGGTTCTCCAGGACCCTCATTCTGTGCATCTCCTGTCTCTGGGTACCATTGCCAAAGGTCCCAAATGGCACATGGTG